CAAGTTGGGCTGAATCTCAGTCTCAGCAGCATCGCGGAGTCCTGCAGGCCTCTTGGTCCAGGGTCCCCTTCTGAGGGGTGGCTCCTGGCGTCCCCTGCCGCCATGCCTGCAAGGAAATGGAAAGGCTCAAAGAAGGCAGGACCCAGAGAGGGTTTCCTGCCCTACGTGCGGCCTTCTAACTCAGACCCCTACCCCTGGTCTGGCTTGGGGACCTCGAATTCTACTGCCTGGTCCTACCCTGTCCTCCTGCCTGCAATCTTCAGGGCCACCAGACCACCCAGCTCCCCTCCCTGCCTCTGTCCTCCCCCACCCGATGCCAGGCCAAACTCCCCAGCCTTGCAGGGCGATGCAGGGAGCACCGTGGAACATTCAGGAGCAGCGTTAGGATCCCTCGGTTCATTTTTGGAACATGCCCCTGTCTTCACAGGGGAGTTCTTCCTAAAGTCTAACCTAGCCGGGCATGGTGACACACACACGCCTGTAATCCCGGGAGGCTGAAGCAAGAGGATTGTGTACCTTTGAGGCCCGCCTGGACTCCATAGTGAGACCCTGTCTCAAAAAATAAAAATAGAAATAAAAAAATAAAGCCTAACCTAAGGTCCCTTCTGCTGCAGCAGTACTCAGGCCCTGGGCCTCACTACCCCCCCATCGTCTCCTTCAGGTGCAGAGGCCACAGAAATAGACCAGCTCCAAAAGCGAAAATAAGTCTGCTCATCCTCTGGGCGATCTCTGTACCCATCCTGTCCTCTCTCTGCCCCAGCCACCACAGAAACCCAGGGGGCATTGGTGCCTGCATCCCAGAATGAGTCAAGAGGCCCTCTCAGGGCTAACTGGGGTGCAAAAATTTCCTTTTGTGCCAGGTGAGGGCTCCACTCAGTGGCAAACCCCATCTGCCGCCTCCTCCTCCTCCGGCCCAAAGAGCAAGATCAGCTTCTCCATCCAGGTTGCAACCTCCTGGGCAGCTCACTGGCCCTGACCGCCTGACACCTGCATTTGAGGCTGGGGTATGCAGAGGGCCAAGGTATGGAGTCAGAGGCCGGAAGTGCTTGGGCTGCCCCACTGCCTTTCATCCCAAGGAAAGGATCAAAATAAAAACGAGGCTCCTGGGACTCTCCAAAGGTTGCCAACAGAGGGCTCCCGGGCTCCGGGGCCATGCTTTCCACTCTCTTGCTCAAAGGAACAAGACTGTCCCCGAGGGGAGGGAGGCACAGGGGAGGAGGGGGCCCCGGAGGAAGGCGCCTGGGACTGCAGCTGCGCCAGAAGGTGGCCCAGCTGACCCCTGAAAAGCTGGCACCCACCCCCACCATGGCCCTGCACTGCATATATTCACTCCCCCAAAATAGCATCTCAGAGAGGGAATGGGGGAGCTCTCGGCTCCTTGTTCGCTCCTTCCCACAGCGCCTTCACAGCTCTCCCTGCCGCTGTCTCTCGCGACCTGGATTCCCTGCCAGGCCCTTCTGCTCTCCGCTGCTCTCACCCCCTTGCCCTCCCAGGTCCCAGGATCCCTCTGCCAGGCTCCGCACCTCGGCCTATCATGCCTGCTGTCCCTGACACCCAGTCGTGGCTGGCTCACTGTTCCCCCTGCCTTCTCTGGGACAGATGTGAATTCAGTTCACAGAAACAGCTTCTCATGCAGCCCTCAGGGCCTCTGCAGTTGTCCTCGCAGGGGCAGGGGATGAAAGTGTGAAGCGCTGGCTGGGGTGCAGCTTAGTGGTACTGTTCCTGCCTGGTGCACGTCAAGGCCCCGGGTTCAATCCCTAGCACTCCCGAAAGAAGTCCACCTGGAGCAGTCCTGGTCCTTTTCTCTGAGAACCTCCTGAGCGGGAGGCCTGACAACTGGACACCTCCTCCCAGTGAAAGTGGACCGGAGGCATCTGGCAGCTGGCAGTGCCCAGGGGAGAAGGTCTTTCTGGTCCCCACCACTCAGCCCTAGGGCCCAGGGCCTCATGCATTTCCAGAATCTGACCCAAACTCTGCTGCTATTGCTCGGACGTACAGAATGGTCCCAGAAGGGCCAGAGAGGTTCTGGTGCTGACCCTAGGAGATGCCCAATCTGCTGGGGGAGGCAGGACACAGACTGGACCCCGGCAGAGGGGACTCTGCAGGTGGGCAGTGCCGGGGTCATTACGGCTCCCAGAGGTAGGTGGGGTGGAGTGGACTTGGGGAGAGCAAGGGGTAGCATGGGGGTGTTGGGGGCTGAGGGCAGTGGGGGGCTACAGTGGGGTGTCTGCCCAATCCGAGGGTGGATGTGCAAGAACGGATGCACTTCCTCTGCCCGGGCCAGCTGTGGGGTGACCTTCAGCCCCCAGCACCGTGGGAGAGTTGGAGGCAGGGAAAGAGTACCTCAAAGTCACCCCCCCCAGGGAACCACCTCCCCCTTTTTATTTCTGGCCCCACTTTCTTGGTCAAGAAGGGTGTCAGTGGTAATGCAAATGAGCATGTGTCGGAGGTGGCAGCCGACACCCATCCTGCCCTGGCGCCATGCCCCGGGGCTCAGACTCACACAGCAGACTGGTACATAGGTGGGAGGAGCCCGGTCACCCTGCCCCGGACTCAGGTGGCCTGGAGGGTGGCTGATGCTGTGGTTGAGGCCGGGCCCCAAGGGGCATTGGCCAGTCTCCCCTGCCCCAGGCCCTGCCCGCCTCAGCCCTGCCAGACCTCCCAGGTCAAGAACATGGAGCCACGTGGCATTTGTGGAGACAGTGAATGCCAACGACCGGCAAATACCTCAACCCTTCCTCCGGGCTGCAGGTGTGTGGGCATCAGTGGGTACCAGCCAGAGGCTGCTGAATGCCCGGCTCCCAGCCCGCAGGGAAGGTTGGGTCTCCAGGCACTTGAGCAGAATTTCTCCAGTCCCAGCAAAGGAGGCAGAGGAGGGCCCAGGAAGGAACAGGGTGCTGGAGGGTCCTGGTCTCCCCACCCGCTAGCCTTTGGCCCGGCCTCCCAGGGAGGACCCCCTGGCCCCTAGCGTCTCACCTTCATGTCTGATCCCAATTCTTCCTGTGGTCACCAAAAGGTACCCTGTTCTTGCTGCTGGGAGAGAGATGGATCTAAGGAAGCTGGCCTGCCCCCCATAAAGATGCCATGGAAAGATCCCCCCACCCTGTTCTTCTTCATCAGTGGGGCGCATTCCTCACCCACATAGCCCTCCTTCTGTTCTCAACCAGCTTCTCAGTGTGGATGCCACCAGCTTCTGGGAAGAGCGCTGCCCTCCCGGGCGGGGCACTGACACAGAATGCGTGGGGACAGGGGACCAGGACCGGGGTTCCCATGCCTTAGTATCTCTGGCTGGGGACAGAAGGGCTGGGGCTGGGCCGGAGGTGGGATGGTGGCCTTTGGTTCAGCACAGGGCCACGAGCCCCTGGTGCCAGAGAACAATGAGTAGCAAGTGTCCGTTCTGCCCTGAGGGGAGGGCTAAGGATGAGCAGGACCGGGCTCCCCAGCACCTCCCCAGGTCCCCGCCCCATGCTCTCCTTGGCTTTTGGGGACCTTAGATGAAAGGCTGAGGCTGGTTGGCTTTTCTCCCTTCCCCACCTTCCTTCCCAGCCCTTAGCGACTCTGTGCCCTGCGCCTGAGCCATTTCCTAGGCCCCTGGAAATCAAGGAGACAAGCTGCCACAATGTACACCCTCTGTCCGCACTGTCCCCTCACCCTGGTGACCGGGGGACATCCAGGCCGCTGGATACCTGGGTTCTCTCCCACCTCGAGGCACACTTCAAGGGCCAGGCAAGGATTCCCAAGGTCACCCCCTGCCCGTGTGCCAGCTCATTCCCCACTGCCCTCTGCCCTTTCCCCCTCGGCCGGCATGCCTCTTCGCCCACTGCTTATTCTTTCTTACCACTCAACAAATGCTCCCAGAGACCCAGCAGGGCCCCGGCCCAAGAACCTGAGTACCGCTGTCCTCTAGGAGTTGACGGAAGTGGGGGGACTGCAGGGGACCCTAGTACCCATTGGGCACAGGCTGAATCCCAGGTATGAGCCAAGTCACAGGGGCCCTTGGGTCCTGGCTATGGTCGCTGTTTGTCTACTGCATGGGGGTGGGGACTGCACCTGAGCACAGAATGGGGAGGCAGCAGCCCCTGGCCTGGAGCCGAGAGCAGCTGCCCCACCCCTTTCTTCTTTCCTTGTGCTGGGGAAGAGCCCTGGGCATTCGGGGCAAGCGCTCTGCCCTGAGCTGCACCCCGGCCCTCCCCAAGCCCTGTGTGGTTTCTAAGTGAACCCCTGCCCAAAAGAGGGCTGCAGAGAGGAATGGCAGCACCTAGAGCTGGTGGATAAGGTGCCCAGGCCCTTTCTGCAGGCAGAGGGCACAGCCCCGCTGGGACAGAAGTCTCGGGCTTGTGACCCAGCTCTGACCTCCAGGTGTGGGACATCTGAGGCAGCAGCCGAGCTGGAGCCCAGCCCCTCCCGTTCTTAACCTGTGAGTACCCAGGACCCCCCCACCCCTGTACGGATGTTCTTCCTCTGTGAGGCCCTGCCTGGCCCCGGCACACAGGAGTCAGTCAACGAAGAAATGGGGGGCACTGAGAAATGAATTCTGGCAACTTAGGGCCTCTACCAGCCAGAGCAGGGTGCTGGGAGGGAAGTTCGAGTCCCTGCCACCATGGAAGCCAGGTGTGGTGGTGCACACCTGTAATCCCAGCACTCTGGAAGACTGAGGCAGGAGGGTAGGAAGTTTGAGCCCAGTTTAGGCAGTTTAGCAATTTAGTGAGGCCCTGACTCAAAATTTAAAAAGGACTGAAGACGTTGCTTAGCGCAAAGGCCCTGAGTTCAATTCCCAGTACTGCAAAAAAGAAAAGTCCCTGGCGCCTCTTGGAGCAGGCGGCTGCTTCCTACCTGCCCTAAATGAACTCCACATACAGGTCACTGGTCACCTGCTCACAGGTCCCCGACCACAGTGAACGGGATGCCCCACGTGTCCCCTGCTTGCCAGGCCCCATGGTGTGGCTGAGAGTTTCCACGACCTCCTGGCCCCCTCCCCACGGAGAAGGCGCAGGCTGAGCGCAGATGGAACAGGTAAGATTTATTCGGACTTTCCACTTGTTCAGAGAGCGCAGGGCCCCGCCCCTCTCCAGGCCCCCTTCCCCGTGTCCCCCAGCCAGGGGAACACTCAGGGTACAATGACGCGTGTCTCTGGCGTCTGTGGCCCCAGCTCTGCCCGCCACACCCCTTCACTCGCCGGCACCAAGAGGAGGGGGGGCCTGGAAGATTTGGATCAGAACGGAGCATGCGCAGGCGGTATCGGCCACTGCCGCCCGCCCGGGCTGAGGCCTCGGGGAGGCTCGCAGTGGAGGGGTGCATTCGGCGTGGGCATAGGCTTCCTGGCAGGAGGCTCCCCACCTCGGGCCTGGGCCCGGCCTCCTGCTCCCACCCTTCTGAGGGTACGACTCTGAGGTAGATTTCACAGAGGGAATGTGGGGCAGGACAGGGGTTAGCTCTTTTGAAGTTGACCTCCATAGCACCCTGGGCCGGTTCTTGGATCCTGGCCCAGGCGGCAGGGGCTGATGATGCCCACCCAGCACACAGAGGCTGGGCCCCACGCGGGCTCCGGGGCACCCATGGTGCCAGGGGCTCCAGTGGGAAAGGGTGGCATCTGCCTCGACCATCTGTGCCTTGGTGCCAGAGGTGCAGGAGGGCATGGGCCTGGCGGCCTGCAGACGGCCCGGGGCAGCCTCTTCAGGCTGGGTCCTCCCTCTCCTCTCCCACCCTCCCTGTTCCCAGCATGGGCAGAGGAGGAAGAGGGCTGGCCTGCAGGGAGTTGCAGGGTGTTGACTCCGAAGCCATGGGATGGAGGAACTGGCGTCAGTGTTGGGGCGGCCTCTGGGCCCTCACAGAGAGGTGCTCCCCGGACAGAGCCCAGGCCAGGGAGGGGCTCAGGGAACCCTGGACATCTGGCCCCTCCTCTCCCCAAGCACTAGACACCTTGGACCCAACCCTTTGGAGTAAGAGGAGAGGGTGAGGCCAGGCTTCGCCCTCCGCATCTCAGCCCACTCCCTGCTTCCCCAGCAGGGACAGGAAGCTGGGACAGCCCACTGGGAAGAGCCAGGGCTGTGGTGCCTGGACCAGGGAAGATGGCACAAACGTTGACTGGGTAGCTAGTGGAGGTATCTGGGGGTCCCAAGGGGCAGGGGCCCCTCACGAGATTCATGCAGCATTCAAAGTGAGTGGGACAATGGAAGAAGACAGAGACAGCCAGCCGGGGGGAGGCGCCTAGATCTTGCTGTTCTCCAGGTGAGAGTCAATGTGTTTGATGAGGGCATCGTCTGGATACCCAATGGGGAAGCCCAGCTGGCAGAGGGGGCAGCTGCGGATGTCGGAGCCCACGGTCTCCATCAGCAGCTGTGGGAGAGAAGGAAGTCACTTAGGGTCCCTGGTCCCCACATCCTTGCTGCCCTTTGCCAGGCACTGCAGCACCCAGGAGGGGTCTGGGCACCCTTTCTCCAGCTCCATCCTCCCCCACCCTAAGACATGGGGTCCCCAGAAGGTGTGCATGGAAGTCACCGCTCAGTCTGCCTGGGCACCCGCAGGAGTGAGGTGAGTTCCCAGACTGACTTAAGACAGCTCTGGCACACTGAGAGCAAGGGACAGTCCCAAGAACACAACTGCCAAAGAATTTCCTGTCTGGCTGTGGAATACATTTTGGTCCCTCTAGGGGGCAAGGAGACGTTCAGGAAGCTCCCCGTTTCCCTGGAGACCCGAGACAGGGTTGTCCTCTGGCACAGACAGAAAAGAGTGGGGCTCTGAGGCCTGCAGGACAACACTGGGTGGGCAGGCCTGGCCCAGTGCGAGCTCAGGGTACCAGAAACTGGCACCGCGCACGCTGCTTCCCCATCACTCCTCCTAAGCACCCTCCAAGGTGAGTAGATACTGGAGCCATTCTGCAGAGGAGGGCACTGAGGATCGGAGAGGGTAACCTATTCCCGGTCCCACTGCACCTAAGGAGGGGACCAGAAACCAAAGCCAGGACTGTCCGTCCGAGCACCACCGCCTTATCGGCAACATCAGATAAGAGTCCCGAGGGTGCAGGCCCAGAGCACAGGAGAAGGAAGGGCGGGTCTGGAGCTGGGGGAGCATGGAGCAGGTGCCCCGCCCCGCAGATGCGGACCGCGAGGGTCGGGGAGACTGAGAAGGGCGGGGCTCCGGGCTCCCCCCTGGCTGCTGGATCACGCGTGTGCACTGCGGGACGGGACCCACGGCTCACTCACGTTGATGGAAGGCCAGGACTGCGCGTGCTCGGCGGGGGCATAGGCGGCGGCCGGCGACTCAGGGATCGGGAAGCCGGCGCAAAAAGAGGCGCAGCGGATGGCGCCGGCCTCGGGGCTGGCCGGGCTGGCGGGCACGGCCCACTCGTCCTCCTCCGAAGGCTGCTTTTCGAAGCGCAGCCGCAGGCCCTCGAAGGCGCGGCGCGGGCTGAGCGGCCGGCCGGGCCCGTAGAGCTCGGCGGCGCCGCCGTAGGCACGGGGCTTGGGCAGCGTGGCGGCCTCGGCCTGCAGCCAGGCGGGG